CTACTAAAAACAGATTGTACCAAAATTTTTCTGACTGACCTCGTTGACAGAAAATTTCACGTTACATTTCTTCCAACTAAAAAGAAACGAAGGACAACAAATTTTTCTAATAAAAACAGTAAATTGGCCAATGATTTAGTAATCTACCCATTTAAAAATTATCTATTTTCTAATACGCTATAGTGTCATGTCTGCTTATTTTCTACTAAAAACAGATTGTACCAAAATTTTTCTGACTGACCTCGTTGACAGAAAATTTCACGTTACATTTCTTCCAACTAAAAAGAAACGAAGAACAACAAATTTTTCTAATAAAAACAGTAAATTGACCAATAATCTAGTAATCTACCGATCTAAAAATTCTCCACTTTCTAATACACTCTAGTCGTATTCCTACGTATTCTCTGGTAAAGCCAGATTATATCCTGTTCACCTTCACAGACGTCTCCAATTGCACGGATAAAAAGTATCTGTCGAAGGAACAGCTATTAAAGAGTTAACATTTCCCTTCATTGGAACGTCCACGGGATGAATAATACGGAACGGCGCTTCGGATATCCCAGGTACCATTCAGGAAGGTTGGACGTCGACAACGAGATCAAGTTGTCATGGTGTCCCGTCCGCGGAAGAAAATAATCGCGGATCTACAAAGGGCTGAAATGCACAAACGAATCGACCGTTCACGATTCCCCAACAATTCGCATTATTCCGATGTCCAATCAACGTGATGGATCGATTTGTTCGGCGCAGTTGCACGGACCTTGTTGGATAACCTTTAATCCATTACACCGTCCGTGCTCAGCCGGGTGATGCATCTAAACGTCATTTAGGAATGCCTCGATCCGTCTTTCCTCTTCGATGAAACTTTTCGAACAGTGGTTCGGGGTAATTATTCTACGCGAATCCATCGTGTAATGGATGAAGCTTTTCGCGTAAAGCCGTGGACGACATCGTGGGAAGATGGCTCGCCTCGAGTCGCTTCCGGTTGCATCCTTCACCGACTATACTAAACGCGTCGATTTTCCCAAAATTTTTCTTTTTTGGGGGATAAATAGGATAGATAGACGGTGTATCCTGAGAAACGGATTTAACGACGATCTAACGTTAAATTTTTACAAATTATGGAAAACTGGGAGAGAAAAAATTGGAACTTAGAATTTTGAGGACGTTATGATACAATTAGGAATATTTAGAAATGGAAATTTTTAGTGTTAACTGTAAGAAGATGTATCGATTAGGTAGATGGATAGATATATCTTGAGGAATGGATTTAATATCAGTCTACTGTTGAATTTTTTAGAGTCGTATGGAACTGGAGGAGAAAAATTAGAGTTTAGAATTTCAGGAACGTTACAATAAAACTTGAAACATTTGGAAATAGAAAAATTTTGTGTTAACACAGTTTCTATTTCCATTGGAAAATTAACCTGATCCTACTTTAATTAAATAAACATATTTGAATCTTCCAAAATACTATAATTAAATATACAATTATTTTTATTATAATCCTACAATTATATATTTAATTACAGTACTTTGGTAGTATTCATATTTTATTCTAGTATAGTAATTGTAAAATAATTCGATCCTCAATTTGAGGGTTGATATATCATTACTATATATCTATAATTGACTAACTGTAAGAGATTTCGGATTCTACATGTATGTTGAAAATTAAATACTTTTTACTACTCCATATTGTATCCTCTTAGATCCTCTCCCCCTTATGTCCTAACAACTAATATTAAATAACATCTACCGATTGTGATCATGACTATTTATTAGAAAAATGGTCACTCTACTTCACCGTCACCATGACCAACGCAAGTCAAATATCTTCATCACCACTTCCCATTCATCGAAGATTCAGAAACGATTTCTCCCCATGCCACCAAAAGACAAGACAAACGCCTGGCTCGAGAAGAAGAAGTCGAGGTCAACGTTACAAAATCGAAACCTAACGGAAAACGAGTATCGAACATCGCTCCTCTCACGCTAATCGACTACTGCGCCCCTAAACACATCCACAGGCACAAACATCGTAAAACCGACATTCCCATAAGGCCTGAGCGTGGCGATGCTCGACAAGAAAAATCATGGAATCGAATGAACCTCAATCAACCTTTCGATAAGAACCGATATCACCTGGACGTTTTTTCTCCCTCTATTAAATCGATCCCGCCCGTTAGCCACGAGAGACCCTTCGAGATAGCGTACACGGCGAAGAGCCATCCGAGTTGTTAATAATTCACCGGCTACCGTAGAAAAGAAACAGCGAGGCCTCCGACTATAAATCCAGCGCGTCCAAGCAAAGTAATAGCAAAAGGGACACGTATCTATTAACAGGAGTCCGTATTCGTTTGCTGAACCCGTCGGAATTCCGGGGTTAAGCATTTTAACGCGTCGAATGCCGTCTGATAAATCGATTTCAGACACGAGATCCCGGCTCTCACGCTTTGTGCAGGGACCAGCGCCGATTCATCAGCCGTTTTCTCGCTTCGTTTCTGATAGGGTTCAATTGAAACGCGTACGAACGCAACGGGATGCCGCAAAGATAAATATTCAATGGGTTATTGCCTGATTGCATCACCTAATAACGATTTGTCATAATTGCAGGGCTGTTACCGTTGCCGATACTCCGCTGACGAGTTGGGATGGAAGATCGGCTACGCGGGGCTGCAGGAATCTGTTACGGATCGGTTAGGGTGTTTAACCCTTTGCACTCGACGATTTTTTGGCTAGAGAAGAGTAGAAATTCAAAGATTCTCTGCTAAAAAACTGACAATACGTTTTTGGGCAGTAAATAAAGAATTGTATAATAATAGAATTGTAGAATTATTTGATTTCGATACCACGCACACTGTTACATTACATTAAATTTGATATATTAATTAATATCGATCTTCCAAATTTTATGAAATGGTGACTAAAGGTCACCTCTCGAGTGCAAAGGGTTAATAGGTGACTGAAGAATGATATGCAGGAAAGCTATCTTATTCCGATTTCTTTGATTTGATAAATGAAATTTTTGGCTTCCTTGTTTGTCATTCTGCGACTGTTTATTTTCTGTAGATATTGAAATTTTTTGGTATAGTATTGTAATTGGTATTGTAATTATTATTTTAATTGCTGCTATATTGCGTCGTATTTCACTTCTGATCTTTTTGCGAGGAAAGAGTAGAGTACGAAGGAATATTTTATAGGAAGTAAAAATGAAGAAGAATAATTTCGCGGAATTACCTAATTTTTCAGACGAATTTTAACAAAACGAAATAAATTTTATTTTTTCAGAAATTAAAAATTAAAGCAAAGATTTATTAAATTTACCTCCACAGACCGTGAAATTTTTCCATTTTGATAAACGACGAAAGGCATTTCTCGAAGGCGAAAATAAGCCATTCTCTGGTGAAGAGAAAAGTATGACAAAGTATGTCCGATTAACAAAATGACTGCAGTCGTTTCTATGGCACATTAGCGGAGTCTGTGGTATATGATATAGATTTTTCTAGCTTTTAGCTTCGAGCTCGTTAATTCTCCTATAAATAACGAGAAAATATCTTCCAAATGAACTTATCGCATGGATAACCATTGTCGATCTACTGGTAAACGAACAGTGACATACTAGACGTCTGGAGCAACAAACAGTTGAACCGAACCACTTGAGAGTAATCATGGTTACCGTTTCAACAATAAAACACAGGAAGTCGTACAATTGACGCCATATGTTGTGGTAAATTGAAGAGGTTGCTTTAAACAGATTTAACCATATGACGATATTTCGTTGAAATTTCTGTTTAAGTACATCAACAACTGATACCCAAATTTTAATACTATAATAACGATAAATAATTAGGAAGTACAACTAACAACCCCTCATCAAAATCCAACGATATACCACAGGCACTGAAACAACACCAAATAACAATGAAATCCTATCTACTCTTCATAACCAAACAAAAACTTCAAAATCCCTGAACAAACATACCCAACATCCTCAATCTAGATAACAAACAGTCGAGTCAACACAAAAGCTACCACCAATCTTCCCGTTTCCCACCAAATGCTCTCTCGTCTCTCTATCAACTGTTCTTCCAACCCCAAAATGTGCCATGATGACACTAGGAGCGTATGAGATTCAAAAAATATCAAATAGGGAATTTTTCTTGGGATCGGCACGGGATTTCAAAAATTTTCTCGACTGTATTATAGACAATAGAAGTGCACGAGATTTAAAAAATATCAAATAGGGAATTTTTCTTGGGATCAGGGCGGAATTTAAAAAATTTCCAGGCTTTCCCAAAATATCCGAAATCCCGAACTGTATTATAAACACCAGGGGTGAACAGATTTCAAAAAATGTCGGATCGGGAATTTTTCTTGGGATCAGAACGGGGTGTCACAAATGTCTTGGATTCCCCAAAATATTCGAGATTCTGGACTGTTACATAGACACTAGGAGTACACAGGTTTCGAAAAATGTCAGATTGGAAATTTTTCTTGGGATCGGGACGGAATTTAAAAAATTTCCAGGATTTCCCAAAATATCTGAAATCCGGAATTGTATTATAAACACAGGGTGAACAGATTTTAAAAAATATCAGATCGGTAATTTTTCTTGGGATCTGGACGAAATGTCAAAAGTATCTAGGATTTCCCAAAATATTCAAGATCCTAAACTGCTACATGAACACTGGGAGTATACGGGTTTAAAAAATTGTCAGATCACAAACTTTTCTTGGGATCGGAACGGGGTGTCAAACGTACCCAAGATTTCCCAAAATACCCGAGACCCCGAAAACGTGAAAAAACCTAAAAAATAACTGAAATTCCCGAAACGTCAAAAATCCCGAAAATATCCGAGATTCCGAGCCAAAATTTCCAAGACACAGCACACCCTGACAAGACGCAATCCTACAAAGGATCGTAGAAACCCGAAAGCAAACGTGGAACGAAGACACCTCGAGTACACGGATTAAAAGGAGGATCAGGTGAAAACTCACCTCTTCGGGACAAGCAGCCGCCTGTGCTTCCACGCGTTGTCGTTCAGCATCGTTCCTCTTCTTCTTCTCTCCACCCGGGCGAAGATCAATCGGGAACAATGCGCGGGCCCTTCGACGTCGATCGGATCCTCAGATCCGAGACGGTCGAACGCGACTCATGAAGCGGGAAGGAGCGTCGATCGGGCTCATGTACGTTCTTCCTTTCGACCGGTTAGCCGGATCCACGCCGCGTTATCGTTCCAATCGATCACTGGCAACTCTCAACGCCACCCTACCAGCCCTGATTCGATCGATCTGTTCGCACACGCGTTCCCAAGCGAGAACGTTTCCTCGCCCTCGTTAACTGTTCATGCTCGATCAACTAGTCCATTCAGACTGGTCTTCACTGTTGGATACGTGGTGGCTTATACGGTATCTCCGGTAGGTGGTAGGTGAGACTGGAGATCGGGTCGATCTCGGGTGCAGATTCTCGCGGCGTAACGCGCGGATTTGTCACGTGGACAGCGTGGAGATGTGTCATGCGAGTTTTCCAGGGGACTTTCAGTGACGGATGACGAAACGGAGACAGGTGAGAGTGCGACCCGGTGAGAGAAGGGTTGGAGCGGTACGCACGGTCGGCTGGCTGGTCAGCACGCGACTGACTAGCAGGAATATTCCGCGCGAGAACACTGCTCGTCAACGAGGAGACGACACGCGATACGCTCTGCTCCGCGCCCGCTCCGTTACTCAGCCCGCTCGTAATGCGATTCTACTCCACATTCGCCGTGCCGCCGCCGTCGCCCTCCCCACCGACCTCTTTCGCCACGAGAAAGGCGCCACTTTCCTGGAAGATCGCCGGTGCAAAAAGGTGCTCGACCCCGAACTTGCCTGCCACGAGAGAGATCCGGCAGACTGCACAGTTTTCGATCAACTTCCTGCCTCCATTCCCTTTTTTTTCCAACTTTTTCTCAGGAAGTTTCGGCCGCGGATGAGGCTCAGTCGCTGATTTTCTTTCCAACGCTTTTTCACAAACGATGTGTAATTCCTTTTCTTCTTCCTTTCGAGCTTTGCAAGATTTTCGTAGTTGAAGTGGTTGAAGAAAATTGGTGATCCATTTTAAAATCTTTGACAAGAGCTAGTTGTTCGTCTTGAAATTGTCAGTGGAACATGATGGAACATGATTTTATAATATTTGAAGAAAATTTGGTAATTTATTTTTGAAAACGTTGGTCGTACGACGAGTACGAGTGATGGGTCGAAATTTCATAGTTGTTAAGGAAAAATGCTTTTTGACAAACGATGTGTAATTCCTTTTGTTAGTCCTTTTGTGCTTTGCAAGATTTTCGTAGTTGAAGTGGTTGAGGAAAATTGAGGATCGATTTTAAAAATCTTTGGCAGAAGATTGTAGTTCGTCTTGAAATTGTCTTGAAGAACGTGGTTGAAATTTTTTTGAAACTTTTCGTGAGGATTTTGTGACTCTATCGACACTTCCTTTTGAAAAGAAAAGAATTTATCGTATCTTCTATAATGTTTGATGAAAATTTGATAATTTATTTTCGAAAAGGTTTATCGTACAAGGAGGATGAGTCGAGATTTCATAGTTGTGGAAGAAAATTGGTGATCCATTTTAAAATCTTTGACAAGAGCTAGTTGTTCGTCTTGAAATTGTCAGTGGAACATGATGGAACATGATTTTATAATATTTGAAGAAAATTTGGTAATTTATTTTTGAAAACGTTGGTCGTACGACGAGTACGAGTGATGGGTCGAAATTTCATAGTTGTTAAGGAAAAATGCTTTTTGACAAACGATGTGTAATTCCTTTTGTTAGTCCTTTTGTGCTTTGCAAGATTTTCGTAGTTGAAGTGGTTGAGGAAAATTGAGGATCGATTTTAAAAATCTTTGGCAGAAGATTGTAGTTCGTCTTGAAATTGTCTTGAAGAACGTGGTTGAAATTTTTTTGAAACTTTTCGTGAGGATTTTGTGACTCTATCGACACTTCCTTTTGAAAAGAAAAGAATTTATCGTATCTTCTATAATGTTTGATGAAAATTTGATAATTTATTTTCGAAAAGGTTTATCGTACAAGGAGGATGAGTCGAGATTTCATAGTTGTGGAAGAAAATTGGTGATCCATTTTAAAATCTTTGACAAGAGCTAGTTGTTCGTCTTGAAATTGTCAGTGGAACATGATGGAACATGATTTTATAATATTTGAAGAAAATTTGGTAATTTATTTTCGAAATGGTTTGTCGTACGACGAGTACGAGTGATGGATCGAAATTTCATAGTTGTTAAGGAAAAATGCTTTTTGACAAACGATGTGTTATTCCTTTCGTTATTCCTTTTGTGCTTTGCAAGATTTTCGTAGTTGAAGTGGTTGAAGAAAATTAGTAATCCATTTTAAAATCTTTAGCAAAAGCTAGTAGTTTGTCTTGAAATCTTTGGTGGAACATGATTGTACGATGTGGTAGAGTGATGACGATCAAAATTTGATAGTTGCTGAAGAAAATTGGTGATTCCTTTTAAAATCTTTGGTAAAAGTGTAATAATTCGTCTTGAAATTGTTGATGAAACATGATATAATCTTTTTCGAAATTTTTCTTGAAAATTTCGTGACCCTTTCAAGAATTCCTGGCATTTCAAATCTTCTAAAAATATTTGTCAGAGATTTGGTAATTTATTTCCAAAGAGGTACGTCGCTCGTTTAACAATGAGCGATGAGTCGAAATCCGATAGTTAGTTAGGAAATGATTTATGGAGATTTGATGGCTGGTTTTGAAGTGGCTCGTAAAATTTTGGTTGCACCCTTCGGAAATGGTTCGTGCAAATTTCGTGGCTTGCTTCGAAACGGTCGCTGTAAATTTCGAGTTTTGTTTTCGTTTGAAAGGGACTGGCACTTAGAGTTGGACGATGATAACGTGTTCGGTAGGTGTAGTTTCGGAGTGCTTCAAAGTTCCATTGAATATGACGTTCCGTTGAAACGAACTTGGTACTTAGCGCTGAAGGTGTGGTAGAATGATGATCATCTGGACTTCCGGTTTATCTGCACTTTCGACTACGTGAACTTTAATTTCTCCGTGATAAATCGCTCGATCCGAGAAAGCCCTAATTTCCGAATTTTGTATCAATTCCATTTCTGTTTTCGTAATAATTGATTTAAATTAGAGTTCGTTACTTTTTATCCCAAAATAGTGTCGGTAATTATTACGTTATTACCGATTTGTATCGCAACCAAATACTGTGATAATTGGCATTCTCTCGCCTTAATTTGAAAATTAAAATCGACAAAATTTAGAAAAAAAATCGATTTAATTTAAAATCTATAATGATTAATTAACGACCAAAGATACAGTATGGAATAATAAAGGATTGATTTCTAACCTGGAAAAAATTGGAGCGTGTCTGTTTCTATGATTCATGTGAAGGGGTATCTGAATCGCTCGAATTAGACATATACGATACTCGAATTGCTAACTTGTAAATTAAGTACATGGATATCGAGTTAATAATAGTAGAAGAACATAAATTAATTCGTGAGATAAATGTAGTGATGATGAAGATAATCAAGAACCTGATAACTCGATCGATTTTAAATAAAACATAACTTAAAGTGACATAACCATAGCAGATATCAGTAGTTAGTGAGCATCACCAGTGTGTCATACTAAGTATAATTTTTATTGGACACAAAACTGCAAAACAAAGGACAACTACTGCCTTTCATTCTCGTTAAAGTACGTTTTAAATATTCCTTACAATTATAACATTGAAATTAATAATAAAAATAATTTTAAATAATTAAAATAATTTTTAAATAATTTAACGCGATATTTTACAGTCAATTTTATTTTATTTTATTTTATTTGAAAAACAAATTTACTGCACTTGCTGTAATATAAATAGCAAGTGCTGGATTGCATTTGCATTAAACCTCGACGGAATTTTTTAAATCATCTGCAATTTTTGAAATTATCTACTTTTTATTCGTCGATTATAATATTCTTCTATCGCGAAAAAGCAAAGGATTCCATAATAATGAACGCGAAGATTGATTTAAGCTCTTGATTTTAAGTGTTAGAAATATTACAATTTTCTAAATATAGAATTTCACAAAAGCATGCATAAAATTAAACGCGAGCACATGTTTCATTCATACGTAATCAGTGCCTGGATCATTATGACTGAACTGATTAAGAATTATAGCAAGGATCCTTATGCAAGAGAAAGATAAAATGTTCTAAATCATCTTGAAGGAAGTAACTGAATAAAGTCAACGATAATTAGCCTACAAACAGCCAATTAGTAGACAGATAACTGAAAGAACGTCTATTAACGAAAAAAAAGAAAAAAAAGAAAAATGGACAGAAGATCTAATCACGAGTAGATCGATGACACGATGGAAAATAACGTTGTCCCTTGTCAAGTTACGATGACGTGTCACATGGTATAATCGATCGCTTATACCTTCGCTGTCAACGAGTCTCGTGCAGGTGTAATCGCGGTAGAACATAACACGTAATAAAACCAAAATTCAAAGGTGTAAAAATCTCTCTTTTAATCACTCTTCCTCGAGCTAATTACTCGAACATAATCATGCAACATCATTAACGTGTACATCGAACATGCTAAGGACTACAACCTTGCGAATCTATGGAAAAAATATTCTCAACGTAATTATTTAATAACACGAGATATCGAATAAATGCAGAAATTTTTATTAATTTTCCTAGATACGATATACACTATTGTATTACCAAGAGTAATTTATTTGGTAATTACTTTTAACACTATATTCATTGCTTAATTACATAATTCTAATTTAATTCGCTCCTTTACTCTATTATTACGATCAAAATTTCATTCCTTTGGTGCAAAGAATATTTGGTTCTTGTTCAAAAAATGAGAACTAGTCTCCAAGGATTCGAAAAATAGGAACGTGAGGGTGATAATGAGGACAGATGTTGCAACCATGAGTTTCTTGAACTCGGTAGAGTACCTGGCATATGTAGATGTCTATCAAAAAGAATTCTTAAATATTTAACTCTGTCATACCAAGTTATGATCTAAACTAAAATATAATGAAAGTTGGGTCCAGGAATAATTTCTGAATTTTCTGAATTTCAAATTGTTCAACAGATGAAAGCATAAAATTATTATGTAAAATGTTAAAAAGAGTTATGAATGTCCCTAATCATTCTTGCTTAACCTACTTATCTTACACCGAATGCAAATAATTACAGCCTATTACTCAACACGTCCATTATTGTCCACGTCCAAGCCTCAATTCCACGAACGAAATTGCGATATATCATGATCGTAACTGATCAACAAACGTCTGACAATTAATCGAGTTATCAAGCTTCTTCTAGGGAGAAGAGTTGATAACATATGCAAATAAATTACATACTCGAATCGTCGAAAGAAGTAAATATTGGTATCGTCAATTATTATAGATATATTCGATTAATCGAAATTAAAGGTCCTTCGACCATTCCTCAACTTCTTCTATTATCGACGGTATTTCAAAAAATGTCAAATTGATTGCCAATGATCCTCATATAGCGAGCAATCGTTGACAGAAGAAGCTGTGAGTGTTGGTGTTATATGTGCAAATGCGAAGAGGTTGAATAAATGAAACTCATTTGCGATGATATAAATATATGTGCGAGTGCAGTCTAGCATAAATGATAATTTTCTAGCATGAATGATGATTTTTTCGAAAAAATATTTAGAAGAATGTACCAGAATAAAACAGTTATGTGAGAACTGTCAAAGAGG